TCTTCAAGCTTTCTAGCGATAAATATGTGGCCCATGAGGTTTAAAAGGTTAAGAACCTCTGGTTTAGTGTGCGTGCTCACAATTACATAACAAAAAAGTGTGATGCTCTCTGTTTCTAAATCTGTTAGGATTTTGAAAGTTGCGTAGTGCATTCCCAGTTTTATCGTGCAAACCTCTGGCAGTGACCTCAGTCAGTGTGTGCGTGTTTTTCTGAGTGTGTGTGTGCGCATCACACAGCAGTCCCTAGTGGGTTGTTCCTAAAGTCCTTGGGAAAGTGGAAGCGATGGATGTGTCTGCACGCACAAACACACACAAGGCATATAAAGCGATGCTGTATTATCATTGTTCTCATCCACTTTTCAGATTCTTAGAAGTTTGACCATTACACCAGTGCAACTCAGCATAACTCATCCAATCAGCTCTCCAGCATCTTCCACAGCATGTGTGAGTGTGTGTGTTTTATAAAGACAAGTGGCACAAAGTAGGGCCCACACTGATTCTCCACATGTCTCAGTGCTGAAGTGTGAAGGGCAGCATGTGTGTTAACTTGCATATGTGCAGAAACCGAAACAATCTGTTAACTTGAAGCAGTGTTAGTGAGACAGATTGAGATGAAGAGAGAGGGGAAAAGGGAGAGAGATAAAGAGAGAGAGAGAGACAAAAAGAGAGGGACAAGGTTACACAGTGAGAAAGAGCAAGAGAGCGAGGGAGAAAGAGAGTGGGTTTGACCTGTGTGTTATTTCCCAGCATTGCTGTCTGTAAAAATGCATTTTCACACATTTGCACATTTAAAACAAAACACATTCTACAAAGTGTAATAATTAAATGCAAAGATGTAAACTAAATAAGCTTATGTATACTAAATATATACTGAATAAGCTTATGTATTTGATTACCTAGCCACATTAATAAAGCTGTTCTCCACAGCACTGGATTTACAAACTCGTTTATACGCTGTTCTAGCCATAGTGTTCTTTTCTTTGTAAATCTTTATTTAAAAATGGCATGTTATTGTTCATTTAAGTCTATTTTTTTCAGGCGGCAATTTTAAAAACTTTAATTTCACAATTAATTGTCAAAATAATCTGCAGATTATTCAATAGCAAAAGTTCTTCAAATTTGAGCGGCGTCTCCTCTAGAAAGATTAAGAGTAGCAGAATGAATGGAGGTCTATGGGGAGAAACAGAGATAGAGAGTGCGAGAAAGAGCAGTCATTCATTTCTGTCAGGGTAAATATTTACATGAGAGCAATGTCACAGCTGCTGGATATTAAATAAGCTTGATACTTCAGCTCCACCATTCCAGGCCAATATACACACACACAACCGCAAGATATGCGTATACATACTCAAGAAGAGCCAAAATCAACTTTGAAGGGTTTCCAAACCTTATATCAACTTGGGAGTCAAGAAAACAAAACGTGCTCCTCATGCCCAAAGCCAATGAAGTTTTGATGGGACTGGACCCGGGCCTTGACACTGATTCATCTATATAAGGGACGCGTTAGAGTTTTTCAGAATAGTCAAACAGCGACAGAATTTTTAAAAAATTCAAATAGTTAATTAGAATTTTTAATAGGCAAATTAGCTTCTCTCTAACATCATATGTTCTCATACTGAAGAACAATGAGATGTCTGAACTCTATTCCTCACCAGAGAGCAGTGGTTTCGGTTTTCTAGTCTGTTTAGTCCAAAGCAGGAAGCAAAGAAAGACTACTGCAGCTCGCTAAAAACTACCATTAAAAACTAAGTAATAAGCAAACACACTGAGAAACTGATCCAGCAGGGCTGCTAACACTGTGCACTGAAGCTAAAGCCAAGTGGTGATGTTCACGGTAGGACAATATGGTCTCTCTACAGCCTATTTTACAAAAAAATCACTGTGTTAACATTTATACCTCGCTATTCTTTTCAGCCTAACAGAGCAAACATGGCATATACAGATTTTTGTATGTCAACTTTATCACCGCCATTAAGCTGACTTACGTGTCTAGACCAGTTTTGGAGAAGCAGTTAAAAAACAGGCTAAAAATCACACAATGTATTCCTGACGGGAATCTGCTAAGGCAGAATGTTTAAATTGACCTACGCATTGACTGCATTTGTTCTTTAGCACAGCAGTGTACACTCTGCTTACTTCACATGGTATCATCAGGTACCGGAATGCTAGTATCGAATGCTGAATTTTTATAGTAAAGTATGAGGAGTGCGGTATCAGCCCAATACCCGACACCAGTATTTGTATTGATGCATTCCCACTTTTTATCTCTGTAGTTCATAATCCATTGTGTCAAGTCATTCAAAAGACAAAGGTCTTGTTCTCCATAATTTTTTAATTTTTAAAGTGTAGTGATTTTTTGCCCACATCTAAAGGCCTTCTGATGTTTGGTTATGTCATAGTGTCCAGCAAGCAGGAAAACCAATAATATATCTTAGCACGGTTTTCCTCCACCTTCCACCATCCTGACCAAACATCAAGCAAGAACACGAGCCATCACCTCAGCTCTTGCTGCACGTATGCAGTTGGTTAGCCTGTGAAAGAAATCTCTTCTTCTCGTCACTTGACTTACTTTCTCACTTTCAATTTTGGTTTAGGACCAGTTTCAAAAATAATCATGTATGAGTTATTTTACTCTTGTTCATGTTAACGAGTAAGGTAGTAAATATCTGGCAGTAATTACACTGTTTTCTAATGTTTTCTGCCATGTTATGAGGTGTTCAGCTGATGATGAGGACGATGCACAAGCACACACAAAGTCTTTCTCTTTCTCAGGCACATTATGTAGTTACAATTGCACACTGATTTATTTAATATGTGATCACTGTCTAATCATGTGATTAATATGTTATCATTATATAAATATAATCTGACTTCATTTTTCCTGAAGTTTCTCTTGGTCTTGGAAATGTGGAAATGTAAGAAAAGCAAGAGCAACGCGGGAGCTAAAAGGCTAGCCTAACCAACGTTTCACCTCATCGACGTCTAAAAAAGTTAATATTGATATTAAAATCAGACTCTTAACAAATATTGAATCATGTTTCAGGAACTACAGAAATTACACATCAAATGTCAATTCTATTATTTTTGGGTTCTCTGCAAAACAGATGGATTCTGCTGACTGTGTCTGACTCTTTCTTCGCTTTGGAATGCCTGCTTTTCATAATCCAATCAAAGCCTGAAGAAAAAAATTATATCCCGCCCACAATTATTTCCTGTTTCACTCTGAAATGTGTCATAAGGAAGAAAAATGCATTTTAATTACACACTGACTTTAGATTGACAATGTTCTAGGTGTACATTTCAAGCCATATTTCACCTACGATGAACTGTATGATCTGGGTCTGAGTTTAATATACTACAGTAATACTACAGTGCTGAGCAGCATCATTGACTCTGGTGGCATCTGCCTGACTTGTCTGGTGTGTGGCTGGGAGGGACTGTAATTATTTGACTACCAGAACTGACGGAAATGTCCATCCCTGTGTATATTTCCACACACACACACACACACACACACAGAGAAAAGTGCAATGTATTCCATGTTCTCCATACAGCTACGCAATAATATAACGTTAAACAGAGAGAACATTCTTTCTCCTGTTGCCCCATCGAAGTAGCTCTGACTGGGCTGCTCAACATTCACATTGCGTTTTAAATGGAATGTCATTATGTGCCTGCTGTGGGCAGCAAAGCAGACACCCAAAATTGTAGTGTGAGTGTATTAGTTTATTATACTCATTATGTATTATTAAAAGTAGTGAAAAAGTACAGTGTATGTAAAACGATAGGGGTTGCAGAGTTGTGGCTCACAGAGACGGTCTATCTTAGCCAGCCATCAGACTGCCTCAGATTTGGTGAGTCTGACTCTATTAGAAGTAGATGCTGTACTTTAACGCCGGTCTGCTTTAAGAAGAAACTGCTGCTCCAGTACTTTTCACCGTGACTGTGGCATGCTCTCCTTTCCTCTCCTGTACTTTACTGTGCTTCATTATGAAATCTTTCCACTGCTCTTTCCTACAAGAGTGTACTATGCAGAGCTCTGTTTGGTGTGTGTGTAGTCTTCCAACACTGTGGTTTAATCATTAGCCTTTCTCAACACTTGTCCTTTTGGAGAGAGAGTGTGAGTGAGAAACAGAGAGATGTGTGTATGTGTGTCCATCCATGCAATGATATAATGATGTATTATTTTTGGGTGACAGTGCTGGAAAGGGTACAGAATGCAACAGTCTGGCACACATACACACACACACACACACACACACAGGGAGAGAGAGAGCGGGAGATAGACAGACAGAGAGACAGAGAAAGAGAAAGAGAAAGAGAAAGAGAGAGAGAGAGAGAGAGAGAGAGAGAGAGAGAGAGAGAGAGAGAGAGAGAGAGAGAGATAGAAAAAGAGACTTACAGGGAGGGAGAGAGAAGGGGGAGGGAGAGAGAGAGAGAGAGGAAAAATTTACAATTAAGTATATTCACAATTCTATGTAATTCCGATATAATTCCAATTCTATGTAAACCCATACAGTAACTCCCTCCACAGAGAGAGAGAGAGCGAGAACAAACGAACAAACAAAAAAGTGAGAACAACTCTAAACTTAGCCCAAATCCTTATCAATTTAAATGCATATAGCACCTCACCTGCTATTACTTCTACAGAACAGTTACTATGTTTTGGCAACACTGTACTTGTTAGTCATAGCAATAAAGCTATGTAAACTGAACTGAATCTTCCTCCACACATGCAGTCAGACGCACATGAGAACTCCTGTGAGCACAAGGTTCCTCCATGACGACTAAACCGGTCACAACACAGCTCAATCTGCCTCAACACAGAGCTCAACCCAACCAACACAGCATTTGTCTCAGATTAAAGATGCAGCACTGTATTCAGCTACAGCCAGCCATCAAACACATACACACACAAACACACACACACATACACAAGATCACACACAGTCATATCAGAGCGCTTAAAAGAGAGCACAGGAGCTCCAGGCGAATACAACCTGATTGCCGTAGGGGAGAGATCATTGGAAAATCCCTTCCCTCGTTTCCCAGAACAACTTTTAGTCCGGCAAGACAGAAAGAGAGTGAGAGAGAACGAGGAAGAGAAAGAGAGAGAGAGAAGGAGCGAGGAAGACAGGAGTGACAGAGAGCAGGCAGCCTGCACACACAGAGACTTGTTGGAGTGGGAGTGTCATCAGAGGGAGGGTAAAGGAGAGTGAGTGAGAGAGCGAGAGAGAGAGAGAGAGCAGTAATGAGGAATATAAGGAACAGTTTCTAATGCGTGTAAATATAATAGTAAAGAACAGTTTGACACATAAATAGTTATTATATTAGCAAAATAATACTGTTTTAAAAATGTTTAAAAGTGGTTAAGTGTGTATGTGTATGTGCACTGACTGATTAACAGACCGATTTAAAACCCCAATTCCAAAAAAGTGTGGACAGTAGGTAAAATGGAAATAAAATTTGAAACCGATGATTTATACATCTACTTTGATCTGTATTTGAATGCCAACAGTCAAAAAACAAGATATGTAATGTTTTTCCTTTTCAACTTCATTGTTTGTTTGTTTTTTTTTTTTGTAAATATATGTTTTTTTCTGAAATTGAATGCAACATGTTCCAAAAAGTTTGGATAGTAGACCAGAAACATGAAATGTGAAATGTTCAAAAAAACATCCTAAGCAGCTGACACGATCATGCTGGGGTAAAAAAAAAAGAGCATCCAAGAAAGGCTGAGTTCTTTATGAGCAAGGATGGGTCAAGGCTAACCACTTTGCCACTTCTGCATTAGCAAAAAATCCAACAATCCAAAAAAAAAAACACCCCCAGCCAGGGACTCCAAGGATTTTAGGTATTTCACCCTCTACAGTGCATAATATCATCAAGATATTCAGGGAATCCATACAGTGGAAGGAATACGTCAACAACTCCAAGAAATGCTGCCAACTTCTTGGAGCTCATGCGAAATGGACTGATGCAGTGGAAACGTGTATTGTGGTCTGACGAGTCAACTGTTCAGTAATGGATAATAATGGACTCTAAGTCAAAGAAGAAAAGAACCATCCAGATTATTACCAAGTGTAAAGTTCAAAAGCCAGGGTTTGTCGTGGTATAGCAGTGTGCTAGTGGGAAACATGCACCTCTGTGAAAGCATTTGTGCTGAACACATTTTGGAGCAACATATGCTGCCTTTTAGGCATTTTTTGCCTTTTCTTCAGAGACAACCTTGCTTATTTCAACATGACTACGCCAAGCCACATTCTGCACGTGTTACAACAGCAAGATTGCGTAATTAGAGAGTGCAGGTGCTGTACATGACTGCCTGCAGCCCAGGCATTTCCCATTGAAAACATGCGGCTTATTAAGCTCAAAATATGATAGTGAAGGCCCTGTACGGCTGCACTGCTGAAGACTTGAACAACAGAAGAATGGCCCAAAATAAATATGCTTTCAAAACTGGATCAGTATATGTCTTCAACTCCTAAATGATTACCAAGTGTTGTTAAAAGGAAAGGTGATGTAACGTGCTGCCACTAGGTTTGTACGCTTTTTTTGGAAAAACATCTTTTACACAAAGCCAAATGTCCCAACTCTTTTGGAAAGAGTTTTAGGCATTAAAGTTGGAATGAGCGTATATTTACAAAAAAAAAGGTTTTTCCACTGTTTTCAGTACAGTACAGGTCAAATAGTATTTATTAGTTACTGCTTTTTATTAGCATTTAACCTACTGTACCAATGTTTGTGGAATTGGATTTGCATGCGAGAGCGAGAGAAAGAGAGACAGAGAGACAGGGAAACAGAGAGAGAGAGAGAAGAAAAACAGATATAGGATGGAGAAAGAGACATGGAGACGACAGAGAAAAGAGAAAGACAGACAGAGAGAGCGGGACTCAGAGAGACTTTGCACAGAGTTGACTAGTTGAGCCTCACTTCCTCTGTGTGAGAGGAATAACTGAGACAGTGAAAACATGGCCACATGTGCGTGCACACACTCTGCTCAGCCTCCTGTGCCTGGGACACACAGGGAGACCCATCACTGTCACTTCAAACACTGATTCTCCGATTCTAAACACTGAACTGTTTTCTTCAGCATGGTGAAAAACAAACCAAAAAAGTGAAGATCTCTTTTCTCTGATACAGAGAGCACATCGCTCTGCTCTGACTGACTCTCATTCACACACACGACCGAGCCCAGAGCAAGGTTACCCTGTCACACACACACACACACACACACACACTCTCTCTCCTAACTTGGAGGACATCAACCACAAACAGCCTCCAACCAACATTAACATGAGTGTGTGTTGGTGTGTGGGTGTGTATGAGATGTCATTTCTTGTGAGGCGGTTGAACTGTGTTATTAGTGGAACTCTCAGAGTGAAAGCACTGCCAGAGCAGTTAAACTGAGCACATACACATACACAGACACGTGTGTAAAATGGAACTAACTTGCAAGTTTTGTGAGCTTTTTTGTAAAAATACCTTTTATGCAGAGCCAAATATGGAGAACGCAAGGCATGTCAAAGTTTTCTTAGTTGAACTAATTTAGTTTAACTAACTTGCAAATTAGTAATTAGCTACAAGTTATAACATTTAGTGTTTATAAGTATTTATTGAGTTCAAGTTTACACAGTAATAAAACAAAATGGATTGCACCAACTTATTTTTCTTCTGGACCCCTAAATATTTTGCTGCTGTCAGACCAAAACCTCCATTTTTGTTGTTTTTCAGTTTTAGACATAATTTGAAAATACCTCATGTCCTTTATACTGTGTGTAAAAAGGTAGCAGAAAAAATACAAAAACATTACCCAACCAAAAAACGCTAATTGCTAAAGTCACTTTTTTGTAAAGTAAGCTAATAAACAATCAACCCTGTGTGCTGCAGTATTATTTTCAGCTCTAAACATGATGCAGATTTAACTTACAACTCCAAACATGAAAATAACATCCATAGCTCCAGCTTCAGTGAGACTATAGCTAACATGCACCGAGTTTATTTATGGTAACTTTTTCACATTCTCCTCTTCTATAGTGCAGTGTTTCTCAACCCTGGTCCGGGAGGCCCACTGTTCTGCACTTTTTGGAGTTTTCCCTGCTCCCAACACACCTGATCCAACTGATCAGCTCATTAACAGCGCATTATTCAGTTAAAGTGGGTGTGTTAAAGCAGGACAAGCATCAAAATGCGCCGGATAGTGGGCCTCCAGGATCAGGATTGAGAAGCACTGCTATTATGGATAATGGCACAGCAGCATGTTTATTGATTGGGTCTGAACATGTTATCGTCATGTTAAAGCAGTGTTCGTCACTGTGTATGCAGTAGCTGTTACTAGTTAAGACGTGGCTTATGGAGAGGTGATGCACCCAAATTAAGTGAAAGGATAGTTTGAAACTAACTACAGTAACCAAAGACTTACTGAAGACTTTGGCATTAAGTACAAACTTCATCTACTGGACTGGGTTGCACTAGTGTTGTGTATGTCAGATGAGGCTTGAGTAATGTTACAGCCCCACTGTCCTTAAGACAGTTCCTCGGCCACACCCTCATGTAAGACTCTTGCTTGTAGTGCTTGGAAAAGCAATATTCGTCGAGTATCGTAGAGTAAGAAATACCCTTCGGTGAATAGTGAGCACAGCTAAAAAGATGATCAGGGTCTCTCCTCCCTCAATCACAGACATACCACACGTTGTATCTGTACAGCCATGAACATTGTAGATGACCCCACACACCTCGCACTCTCCTGCCATCTGGAAGAAGGTACTGTAGCATTTGCACCCTCACAGTTAACTGTGCTACAGCTTTTTTCCAGCCATCAGACTCCTTAACTCCCAGAGACTGAACTGACAGACACCTTCATACACACACACACACACACACACACACACACACACACACACACACACACACACACACACACCTACATACACTCAAAGGACACCATCTTGTTCCCTGTTTCCTGCTTCCTGCAATTCCAAATCAATGTCTGAGGCACTGTATCTAATTTTTGTATTTTGTACTTCATAGGGACAATGCATTTAATATAATTCTTTTATCCCACACTTTTTTGCATTTTTTTCCACATTTTTCTATAACAATATCTGCTGCTAGAATAATGTATTAACCAACACAGTATTCCGTTACTGTTGTTATGGCTGCTACCGCAGTGACCACTATGTTCACATATGCTACGTTATCAGCTGATGCCCATATGTCATAGTATGGTTCATTTTTCTTTGCACAACCTCATTACATACTTTCAGTACTGTGTACAGTACTACACTGTATGTCCTGCATCCACTGGTCTTGTTTTGAATTGATTATAAGTCATTTGTACTTATTGCACCGTACTGCCTGCACGGTGTATACTGTATTGGTTTGCACTCATGTTTTTGTGTTGCAACATGGTCCTGGAGGAATGTTGTTTTGTTTCACTGCGTACTTGCATACAGCTGAAATGACAATAAATCCTCTCAAACTTGTGTTTTGACTACTTAGCAGCCTTATTTCTGAAGATCTATATCATACAAGAAAAAAGTGTACAGGACAAAACGTAACAGCTTTGGAACATTTTTGTTTACTACAGGATGTGATAGCAGTGATTTACAAAAACCATTCATTTTCCCCATGAACATAAAACTTTTAGACTCAGACAACTACAGAGGTCTGTTGAACAGCAAAGACACAGTCATCATTTTTCTTAATTCAAACTTTGGTCAAATTATTGTGAATCATGAATGTAGTACTGTACTGAATACTTGTTCTTTATATGAATTTTCTCTATTGTGTTTCCTATGAGAAAAAAAATAAATCAAACCAAAGCAGAAACCTAAATAGGACGGTCGTTTTTTTTTCACCAGCACTTATGACAGTAAGCTAATCTCCCCATCAGATGAAGGAGTGAGTGTGTTTTAGTGGGGGAGTGTATTACACAGGCTGAGAGAACAGAATGCGCTGTGTTTGCAGGAAAGCGAAGACAGTGAATAAGCCGTTTACCGAAAAACAAAAAGCCACAGCGCGACACTCTGCATGTGCCTCTCCACACACACTAACACACATACACACACTGTACACTTCCTTCCCCTGCACCTGAACCCACATATGTTCACTAACCCACCCTCCTTTCTGTTTCTGTCTCACTCACTTACTCATTCGCTCACTCACACATACACACACCACAAACTGTTCCTCTCAGATGCTTCATCAAAGAAGTACCGCATGAGTGCTTTCCCCAGCCATAAAAGGTAAAGATGGCACAGCCACGCGAGCGAGCGGCCGTAGGTGAGACCGAGCGTGATGCCGGCTGACGATGGCCTGAGACGCAGGCCAGGCCGCGGGGTGTTTCATCTGCATTTTATCAACACTAAATATTCGCTAAACAGTGACTTTTATATTTAGACTTCCGTCTCTAAGCAAGACAACAGCAGGAGGGAGGGTGAGTGAACGAGAGAGAGAGAGAGAGAGCAATTCTTTTTTTTTGCATGACTG